ATCACAGGGTGAACTGTGAAGTAAATCAGCATATCAGCAAGGACTAAGACTCAGGGTTTGAGGGATAGGACAACTTTGCAAAATGATGCCATCTAAATCAGTGATATGGTTACCCATGAGACCAGTAGGAGCCAATCAGATCTCATTTATCAGGAAAGTCAAATGTTCTTAAGGTCAGACAATGCAGAATCACTTTAAAGACTCTGGGAAGACCTGTGATTGTAATGACTTCTGGTCTTTCAGGACACATTTGATTTGGACCTGAGGTGAGTCAACCTATGCAAAGCTACAGTACCTTAAAACATACGTATTTGTGGGCTCAGATGTTGTGCTGACCAACTGGCAAATTCCCCTACAGATATGTCTGCCAACTTTTTAAGCCAGGACTATAACCCTCACTCTGATAAACTGATGATCAGTGACCTTTAATGGCTTTACTAGACTTCACACTAGAACCATTAGCATTAACTATTTGTTTTTAATCTATCTCCTGCACTGATCAAGTAAAAATAAAATTCCAGAGGACAGTGCGTTACAAAAACTGGCTGTAATGAGCTCTGCCAACATAAAGAATGTGTCTCTAAATAATGAAAAGGTTTCAGCAAAGATATAGCTCACTCTACATATAGCGTACACATATAATGTTCATATTTCATTTCATTTTGTTTGATTATTGATATCGAAACATGCTTGGCACAGTTGTTGTCGGGTTAGTTCTTTGTTGCACTGCAGCGTGTGACAATGAGAAGCTACACTTTAGCTATTAGCAGTGACTCATTGTCATTTTACCTGACTCCTTGAATCTCTCTCTTCCTAATTATGTTCCTCTATTAATATTCTTACCACATTAATTTCACCCTTCTCATCACTTTGCCTATTCTCCACAGCTGTTGCTAGCAGCTGTCACTTGTGAGGCCTGGTTATTAGTTGTTTCTGGTACTACTGTTCACGGTGCAGCTGCTGCGATAGCTAACATGACGGTTGACACATTTTGCTTTTACTTCCTTTTTATAGTTTTCTCTCACCTTTCCAGCTCCACCTTCTCACCACTTCTTCCACACTAAAGCTTTTCTAGGCAGTGAAGGTAGGGGAGGGGCCGGTCATGTTAAGAGATGTGATTGGGCTATTCAGTGTCAGTCATTAAAGTGAATTAGTGGGTGAATGGGCTGCTTTCAGTGGTTGTACGGGCGGAGTGCAGTTAATTTTTTTTTTTTTTTTTTTACAAATCATACAAGGAATTACAAATTCTAATAGTCATAAACTTTATAATGGTGGACTTAGCTAAAGCGATCCATTATTTTGTGACTTGTTAGTAATTTCAGCTGTCAGTTATTAAACTTTTCCGCTTTCTTCCTGTTAAAATTCATTTTTTCCTTTCCACTGTTGCAAAGTGCTTGCTCATGCAGGGTTGTCTAATTGTTGGGGTTTTCTTTGCGTTATTAAAGGGTTGTTGTTGTGATTTGGCGCTATATAAACTGAATTTTTTACAGTCACCATTTTGGTTCAAAATATTAATGTGCATGTGATGAAATGGGCAGACTTAGAAACTGCTTGCTCATTGGTGACGGTCAATCTAACTGCCAACCATTGGCATGTGGATCCCAGATCTATAAATTGGAGAAAATTAACTCTGCAGCCAAAAATGATATACAAAACCCTGTTGTTTATTATGCTGTCTTTTCTCCAGGGCTTGGTGATAGAACGAATTGGCAGAAAGCCCCTTCTCATATTTGGTTTCTTTTCCATGGCTGTGTTCTTCAGCCTACTCACAGTTTTTCTTAATTTCCAGGTAAGCCACACTTCCTGACCTTTATACTAGACATACAATATCTGAAGAGGCAACATAAAAATATATTCTGAGAAAACATGGATTTTAACACAGTTGCAAATCTCAAACTTTTTTTGCATCATTCAGTATCATTAAAATCTTGAACTGTAATTACTTATTAGCAAAACTTTTACAATGCAAAATATTTAAATACCTCACAGTACAGCAGCTGTAATATATAACAAAATACTGATTATGTCACTTGCGCTCTCTGATTCCTTTCAGGATAGAGTGTCATGGATGCCCTACCTCAGTTACGTCTGCATACTCGCTGTGATTGCCTCCTTTTGCTCTGGACCAGGTAAAACTACTCACATATTCTGTTTTGATCAAAGTAAACACCCTGCAAGCAGATTAGCTCGATAATCTGTGTCTGTAATTCAGTGAAGTACTGTACCTGTTGTATAATCAATGTGACTTTCCCCAACTCCGGCCTGGAATGATTGGCATCGCAAAGTAAGCTCCTGTCATATATTAGCATACTAAAAAAGGAGCCATACAGTATACAGTGTATGTCATTGCCCTGCAAATGTGGCAGTGTCCACGGCAGGTCTTGTGCAAGTTTGACTTTAAGTTTCAAGGTGAAGCTATTCCTGCCATCACACATGCTTATCCTTGTACAGTAATAATATCTCCAGGAAGCATTCGCCCAGTAAAGTGTCTCAGTGTCTTTAGAATGAGACTGAAATTGCAGAGTAGGAGAAAATATCAAAAACCTGACACGCACACAACAGTAAGCGAAGCACATTTTATTGTTTTATTTTTTTCATACCAAAGTTCTTTAATAAAGAGGAAGAAAATAAGACAACCTTATGCTGAGACACAGACATAACACACATAACAACACCATTAGAGTCAATCAATGCCTTTTTAAGGTGCATTTGTGAGGTAATCACTGAGGAAAGGAAGAATGTTTGACTGCACAGTGATGATTTATAGCCTATTGAAACAAATGAAGCTTCCCACTACTGATGACTGGTGAATGGCTTGAGAGTGGGGGTGGGGATTCACCAGAGGGATGACCCCAGTAGTGATGTGAGCCTTCCAGTGGATAAATGAGCAGCCACACCTCCTCTTAAGTCACTTCACCATGGAAACCATGGCCCAGATATTTCAAAAACAAAGATTATATTTCTCTATAAGCGCAGAGGGAGATTTTCCTGTTTGATAATGACAAAAGGCAGAGCTGTAGCGTTTATTTTTGTTTATTGTTTATTTTCTATTTTTAGCTTCCCTTTTCATTGAATTATAATTTTATTTCTTCAAATATATAAATTTTCCCTAATCTTGGAATCTTTGAATCTTGAAAACCTTCATTCTTGTCTCTCTGTCTCTTAAAGCTGCTTTCTTGGTATTGTTTGTTATATCTGAATGTTTCTTTCTTTCATTTTCCTCTTTTTCCAATTTGCAGTTTGATAAGGCCAGCATTCAAAATGCTTTGTCAAATGTCATTTTCATTTTCTAATGCTGAAATATTTCTTTCAGTTGTACTTGTAAGAGAACAAAAACTACACCTTTTTAAAAAATAAATCTTTTATTCAAATCTTTCTTTTTCTGATCCTGATTGTCCCGGATGAGCTTATTACTTTCCAAATTTGGTTGTGTTTTACTTCACTTCATTTTTTAGTTTTCTGTATTTTAGCACTATGAACTAGTAGTTGAAATATAATCAGTGCAGCTGTCACAGTTGCAACAAGTTCACAGATTTTTTTCTTTAACCAAAATAATGTCTTGGCTCACAAGAAATCACCAGGTACAGATTTGAGTTAGTCCTTGTTTGCATTGGTGTATCTTGTGTCTTTGTAGCATCTTGTATGAAGCTCACCTGGACTGTAGTTTAGTCGTTATCGCTCTCTCACCCTGTCCTTTTTGCCATTCTGCTAAACAGAGCAATAAAAGAGATAAATAATCTCTCTGTGCTTCTTCATATGACTGTCACAGACAGTTATCCAGCTTTCACAGTGTCAGTGTAACATTCAAAACATGCAGGAATGACACACTTTGGGCACTTGTACAGTACTTGTTAGGGTTTAGTGGTGCGATGGGATATTTTAGAGGAAGCTGAATGAGCCTCAGATAGCACAGTTCTTTAGTGTGAGCTCAGGGGAGTGACTTTATTGGATTCCCTGTTTGCACTGTCCTAGAAAGGGCTGTCACAAGGACTAATAGCCAATTTGGCATAGGTTTCATTTTCTTCACTGTGTCTCAGGACTCACCTTTAGAAGAACAAAATTTGGCATACATATTTGATGGCTTTTAAGTTCACTTCCATCACTCATGGAGATTTTTATAGACGACATTAGAATAGATTAAAACTGTGATCGGTGGAAGGTTAATTTACTGCTAGCAGTTGCCCTCTGCAGCAGTCTTGTTACATGGGAGAATGCAACAGAATAGACTTAACTGGGTTTTGTAGCAGTACACTCAAAAATCACTGCGACACCCTTTGGTTATTACAGTACACCACATAAATAATTATATTATTTTGTTAATTGAATATTGGTATGTTTTATCATTTAATGAAGTGATGTATCTAAAACAATAGCTCAGCACTGGTTTAGTTAATGCTCTGTAAAAATATCATGTTTTCATAGTGTGGTTGCTTATGGATCTAAAGCATATTCCCTCAACTGGATATTAGTGCTGTCAAATAGAAAACGATAGACTGGAAGATGGAAAAAGGGCAAAGTGTAAAACTGCAGTCAAGTGAAAATGTTAATTACATTTATAAGTTATAATGTAAGTAACATTTTTAATTATAACCAGTTGTTTATTAATGCTAAACTCACATGAAATCTGGCCAAGCATGTATCCATATGCAGTAAATTACTGGCAGCCAATAAAATCGATGTAACGGGAGGTCGTCAATTAAAGAAAGGAAAGCTAATCGAGCTAATCGAAAGCTTTGATTAGCTCGCATCAAATTATTACCACCGCTCTGTGTGACAGCGTTCCTCATTTTACAGCATTTAAAATGTTTCTTTAGGGTAACTTATAAAAATTAATTAGCTGTAATTACTGTACATGGCAGCAAAATTAAGACATACAGAGGTAATAAAATGATATATTATGTGTCAGTATATAATACACAATTATCTTGTCCTTACCAAAGGTAAAATTATTCAGTGACAAACTCACACGAACAGCAACACGAGACACTGTTTCATTATGTGTCTAATAAAAACTAAGCCACAATGCAGAGTGTGTGAAAATACAAGTACACCACATGATTGTCACCGTAGAACCACCTTTAGCAGCAATAAGCCGAAGTAATCATTTTCTGTATGAACTCATCAGTCTCTCATTGGTCAGCTGTTCTTTACAGTGTTGTTTCAGTTCATTCAGGTTCTGTCCTGTTGCATGACTCAAAAGTCTTGTTGTTTTTATGTTGTCTCGATACATAAAACCTTGGGTCTGAACGAAGGCTTACTTTCTTTTTATTGTGATTGTGTTTGTCTATGAATTTGGCATTTTGTCCTCAAACTTTATAACAATACTTGAACAATACAGGTGATAATTAAATATTTGATTCTGGCTTCTTTTTATCAAGAATAACTGTAACGTATTTTCAGGAGAAAAAGAGGACAGGACAACAACAAAATGTGCAGATTCAACCTGAGCTGAAACTAAGTTACAGATTTTACAAAGTCCTCCAACACCTGCTCATTACAGCAAACACATATGTCCACACACCTTGTTTGGTACAAACTACTGAATGTGCTGTTTTTGACATGTACCCATATTACTTCTAATAGTGACAGACAGCTGTCGAAGCTTCGGGAAGAAAAAACAATATGCAAATTTTTCACACGTAGACAGATGTTCAGATGATTGACAGGTGAAACTGCTGTCTGTTGAGCAAATCCATTCTTGTGGTGTACACTGAAGCTGTTGTGGAGCATCCTTGATGCAGATATGTCTAGTCAAGACTGGGTCTTTTCATAGCTGCAGGCTATATATTGAATCACTGTATAGGTTCATGAAGGTAATGATTTGTGCAGCTGTCCCTATGGTGACAGCTGCACAAACTATACAGCGATTATACAGTGAAGTGCAAGGGTACTGAAATAGAAGCATTCGAGTACTGCAGTATAGCTCCACACCACTCGTTTTTTAAATTTCTTCTAGCAGGCTGACACTCTCACCTCAATTGGAAATTGCTGATTCTCTCTTTTTGTCACCCGTGTTGAGTGTTGAGCCCGTGTCAGAACCCACTCCTGAGCTGTTTCTAAACCCATTTAACTGTGCCTCCTATTTTTGTAAACGAATAATACTGCATAGTCTATAACAAACTTACGCCGCATCCCATCACTCCTTCCATTCCTACACTCTGCATGGAGAACAAGTTGAGAGCTGTCATTTTGAAGCAGAAGCAAGTCAATAAATAGTATCTTCCTAAAATATATCTTTATTTTATAGAGTCCTGGGATTGCAATTCCTTTTATCTTGCCAAAATGTAAATAGCTTTAACGCTGTTGTCACTGTTTCCTGTGGGACAGCAGAGATAAATGCAACCCCAAAGTGTAGTGAAGTGTTTGTTAGTTTGGAATATTCTCTTTCCCCCCACGGCACTGGTGTTTCTTTCAGTGGTTGTGACATATTCTTCATTGTTTTTCATTTATGTGGGTACTTATGTTATACGTCATGAATCTAAAGGGATATGATTTGAGTGGTAGTGCCGATTTGTAAATCCACATAATAAATACATGTGAATCTTGGGTTCAAATCCAAATCCAGTTTATTTATATAGCACGTTTAAAAACAAAAAGTTTGCCCAAAGTGCTGTACAGAAACACAGGTTGGATCCAACTCATTAATGATCTGTTCTTTGTGGGTCTAAGCCAGGGGTAGGCAACTCCAGGCCTCGAGGGCCAGTGTCCTGCAGGTTTTAGATGTGTCCTTGAACCAACACAGCTGATTGAAATGGCTAAATGACATCCTCAACATGTCCTTATGTTCTCCAGAGGCCTGGTAATGAACTGATCATGTGATTCAGGTGTGTTGACCCAGGGTGATATCTAAATCCTGTGGGACACCGGCCCTTGAGGCCTGGACTTGCCCACCCCTGGTCTAGGCCAATACTTTATTTTCACAAAACCTTCTAAAATTAATTATTACTTTTAAGTAATTACTTTTAAATGAGCTCTACTGGATTTGTAGTTTTAAACAGTATAACATATATCTCATTCCAACCCGATGTCACGACAAAGCCTGAAACAGACACGCTGGTCCACTGTGTTCATTTCAGGCTTTGCCTGTCCAAAATGTGAAATGAACACGCAAGCAGACGTTGTAGGAACA